AATAGCATATTAGCCATTAGCCAATATCCTTATTGAAAATTCGCTAATGTTAATTGAAGATCTTTTAGCGTTTAGCATATATAATATGCCAACATTGACTTGTATGTGCGTCGTTCGTTATTACGATGTGTTCTGTCAAAGTTAGATCTCGCGATACTATCGATCTCGTCGCAGATCGCGTCACCGTTACCCATGCTACAATATCAAAGATATACCATAGAAAAGAGTTTGATTTTTTCCCTAGGAATATACCATTTACTTAAGTAACTTGTGACAGATATACAGAACTGATCAGGAAAGAAAAAAAAGGACAAAACTTTCAAACAAGCGTCACAAGTTCTGTCTCAAATACCTACAAACAACAAGTGGCATCTAGTGACGATTTGTGACATGGTGACAAGTATACAGAAAAGGAGTCTAAGGGTTTAAAAACATATAAAATAATAACAATCGCCGTCACCATGAAAATAATGGCGACAACTTGTATTTACCAATCCTTTTCAGAGCATTCAGAAAGGTCCTACTTGCCAAAACCAAAAAATGCGACAACAATCCTGGGTCAACTCTTACATTTACATCAATTTCATTGTGGCAAATTATCATGTTAACGTGATTTAATTATACATGTATACTATATATAAAACCATAATATTTTGAATAAAGAAATGCCGTACTGCTAAATATGATGGTGAAATGGACGTCATAAACAACAAATACACAGATGCAATTTCTTCACTGAACGTACAAAAGAGGTGACGATGTGTTACTGTTGTCAACTAGCAATCTACTTTATTAAATTCCCAAGCGCCGTTGTTATAACCTTTGTATGCAAAACACGAAGCTTCGTTTGTTGCATAGTACACATCTCCAGTACCGACGTTTGTTTTCTTTACATGAGCACAAGACCACTGGCCATCTGGTACCTCGCAATCCAATAGTGTGCCACCGGCGCAGATTGCTTCTTGACCGTCGCATATCTTAGTCCCTTGGCCGTCACAATTTGTTACGTATGGTATACAGGTGTCAATTGGGTTCCAATATGAGTCATTGGTGGCATATATATGCACGAGATATGCTAATTACACAAAATCATGTTATGAGAAAAGAAAATTGATCCAACGTACACAATACATAATTTTGAGAGCTTTACCTTCAACCGTGTTGGTTAGTAGGAAACATATTACAAGGATACTAAGACTGTGAGTGATTGTGGAATATTTCATTGTAGAGCATGCGTTTACATTTGGAGTGACCAAGTACTTAAAAGATGTCTTATTTATAATTCAATCGTGGGAATCGGAATAGCAGTCTTTCCCATGAGCATGCATTCCGAGAACCACATCCATTTATCATTTCTCTTCCTTGCTCAAGAAGTTATTAAGATCTATTTTAAGAAAACATTAACGTGTGTAACACGTGAAGATAAATCATGTACAGGACACATCTTCATAACTTTGCGTCAATCACGGCACTGTGTGCCATTCTCGGCACGAATCCGTCGTCACGGGGTAGATTTATAACTAGCGATAAGTGACGACGCACACATGACTTGTTTCATAAGCTAATGGTTACGGACACTGGACTGATTTATATGATAAATTGGCCATAATCATTCATATATTCTAATGATAGATCGATATACTGTATCTATATTATGAACCGGATATAATAATATCTAATTAGATGGTGATGTTGGAAGATCCTGTAAGTGGAAAATCTTCTGATTGGTACGTCTATGGATCCATTTAAATTTAATTGCAATATAATTTGGTATATAGTGAATATAATTATTGAAATTTATTATGTAATAACAATATATTGCTTTTTGTTATTTAAAAAATTTTATTAAAGGTATGATTATTTTTTAATTTAATTAATATTGAAAAATTAATTAAACTCAATAATAGTTTCTAAAAATTAAAAAAATTTAAATTTTTTGTTATTAATTTAATTTGATATTAAAATAATTTGATTATTTGATTAATTAATTAAAATATAGTACCTATTATTTTTAAAAAATATTAATTGTAATATTTTATTTAATTTTTAATTATTTCTTAAATTTTAATATAAGCAAATTTGTTTACATATTTAAAATTTTAATAAGTTTTAAATATTGATTTTATAATTTACTAATATTATAAAAAATATAGTTTAAGATATTTTTAATTAATTTTGTTAAGTAAAAAATTAAAATTTTATTGAAAAATCTTAAAATATATAACTTTAAATTTTGTGTTTAAAATTTTAATATAAAAAATCATATAAAATTTAATATATATTTAAAATAAAAAAATATTTTGCTTCTAATAAAAGTTAAATTTTTTATAATTAAATTATTAAAATTATAATAATTAAAGTTATTTTTTACAAATGATTCTATAAAACTACTTATAAATTATATAAACTTTAACTTAAAAATATTTTAAATTTGTTTAAAATCAACTTTTTATTAAAAAAAATTTTTTTCAAAACTAAAAATTTTGTTTATAATTAAACTTTAAATTTTTATTAAATAAATAAAAAATAAATACTATTAATAAATAATATATAATTAAAACTAATAAATCAAATTAAAATAAATAAAATTTTTGTTATATATATTATATATATACAGAATTATATTGAAATTAAGTAAAAACAAAACTTATTTATATTTTAATTTGTTTAGATTGAAAAATAATCTTTTTTAAAAATTATTTATTATAAGAAAAAAATAAAAGCAAAAGTTAAAATTTATTAATATTTTAATCAAAAGATAAAAAAAAAAATTTTTTTTTGTTTTATTTAACAAGATATATTAAGAAAATTATATATAATAAAATCTTTTATTAAATACTGCTTTTAAGTAATATAAATATTAAATAATTCATATGCCGTATAATAAAAATTAAAATTACAATCATAAGATTTCTCTGTCTTCGAAAATAATTAGAAAAAAAAATTCGAGAATATAATTGGTGTAAATGTGACCAATCACCATCCAAAAAAATCCATTCAAAAAAGAAAAAAAAATTTTGTGTTCTTGCAACCATCTACATAACTGACATACTGTTCATTAGGTGTCGGTTTAGAATTGGTATGTAGCACTTTATAGAAAAAGATATTCCCAATTATCTTTATTCGGAGATGAATGCCTTGATTTAAATTTAAGATTTGTATTTTTTATTAAAGAAAGTCCTCGAACAAAATGAAGGATATCTACAAAGACGAAGAGCTTACCGTACCTGAAGGAGTGACGGTGTCTATTAAATCTCGCAATATAAAAGTCACCGGACCACGTGGCACCTTGACAAAAAATCTTCGTCATATCGATTTGGAGATAGAAAAAAAAAAAAATCTGATTAAACTTATCGTATGGCATGGAACTCGTAAACATGTTGCCTGTTTACGTACTGTCAAAGCTCACATTCAAAATATGATTACTGGAGTTACTAAGGTATTCTACTTGTATGATACTATTACATAAGTACATAAGATCTTATCTAAATGTTCTAAATGGAATTAGGGATTTGAATATAAGATGAGATATGTTTACGCTCATTTTCCAATCAATGTTCACATTGAAGATGATGGGAGGTCGGTAGAAATCCGTAACTTCTTGGGAGAAAAGGTTATAAGACGTGTCAAAATGTTGGATGGTGTTAAAATTCAAATTTCTACCGGTCAAAAAGACGAGTTGATTTTAACTGGAAATGATTTGGAAAATGTATCTCAATCAGGTACGACTTGATGACACCATATATTTGAGATTATCATCTTTCCTATCTAAAAATTTTAAACTTTACAGCTGCAAATATTCAACAATCAACTACTGTTAAAAATAAGGATATCCGTAAGTTCTTGGATGGTATTTATGTTAGCGAACGCGGTACCTTAGAAAAAAGCCAATAAAAATAAAGTAAAAATCGAATGTGATTGGTGAGATTTATATCATTTTTTATTCATTCGTTTGATTAAATCATAATGAGCGTAAAACATTTGAGATTCATATTTTAATACAATGAATTCCATTATCAGTAAATCATGAAATAAAAACATTTAATGTGAATTTGATTTATATTTAAAGCATCAAATATATATATATATTTATATTTATAAACACATGCATAATTGTTATTTTAAGTACAGTGTTGCAAAAAAAACAATAATTATATTTTTACTATTAACTTAATAAAATTATTTAAATTAAACAATTAATTTATTTATTTGTCTTATTATTTTAACTTAATATTTGAATTTTTTATAAAGAATTTTTTTGTTTATTTTTGTTTTTTTTACTTAAATTTGTTTAAAATAAATAATTTTTATGTAATTTTATATAACTTAACTTTTTAAATAAAAATTTATTATTTTTAATATAATTAAATAATATTTGGATATCAATTGTTTTCTCTTTCTCGTAAATCCTTTTTCTGCAAAAAATTTCCTTTTTTAGAAACTGGCAAAATTCAAAGGAGAAAAAAAACAACAAGCACTCTTGGGAGCCCTTCTCCCAAGGGCAAACCCCCAAATCCACTTCATATCCTCCTGGACATCATTATAGTCAATCCAACTGACCATTTATTCTCTGTAGTGTACAAGGAATCTAACTCAAGCAACATACAAATTATTGAACTAGCACGAAATGTCTCCATTCCTCTCTTAACTGACTTCCCCAAATATTGGATTGTACCTTTACTAAATCCAAAAAACATTGATAACCCTTCTTCAGTGGATACAGCATTTGTCAGTTTCAAGCAAGTAATAACCGGCTCCAGTCCTTTATTACTCTCACACATACAAGCCTCCCTATCCATTAATAATCAAAAAAGCAACACCCAAACCAATCTCAATGATTTCTTCCTTTATCAGGAGAGGAATAATCTTGCCCCAAACATAAGGGAGACCATTGCAAGGAAAGTTCTAGACAGTAACCTCAATTATACTCTCCATCTCTCTTGGAATCAAATCAACATAACCAATAGCAGAAACAAGTTCAATCTCGAGAAGATATATAATGCACCATCTCATCCACCTCCCAATACACCAGTTCAGAATGACGACCTTGAAAACTCAACTCTCTACTTTCCTCCAGCTCCCAACAAAAAAACTACAAGCTCTCAAATCCCAAAAAAAACTCCAAGCAGCTCACCCCCACCTATTGATCAACAGATCACAAACATTTCCAATTCAGCACCTATCAGTAACGCAACCCCTGCATCTCATGCAACCTCTGCAGCTCCAGAAAGTACAAATGCAATCAGCATATCAAGTAACACGGCACCAACCCAAATGATCTTCAAAGCACAGGTGACATTATGCAAGTGGATGATTACCACATTGCAGTTGCCACGAATAACAATTATGACAAATCCGGTAGTACAATCAGACCAACCAGCCCCTGTTCTGACAACGACATATCAATGGTATCATTGAACTAACCAATTTCTATTGGAAATTCAAGCTCCCTAGCAGAATTTGACCATTAGGTGCAGGAAGAGCTAGCCAACATACAAGGAAACATACCTCTTATTAAAGCGACCCAGCAAATACAAACCCCCGACCAAACAAGCAGAGATGAACTTCCAAATGAGACAGACTGGTCACATGAGGAACCTTTAACTGGAGATCTTGCAAGCTCCCCCAGTTTCTTCTCAATTGAAAACTCGTCAACAAGCTTACAAGTGATATCACCTCCAAGTGTCAAAGAGAATAGAATAACCGCAATTCTCTTGGAAAGTGACCCAAACTTCCACCAACCAATAGATGGTCTCTATAAAACTCAAGCAGCCAATCCAGG